GGCCCTCCTCGGTGCGCCGTCGGCTACCCAGGAACGTCGTTTCTTTTCGGGGTGAGAGGAGGGAGTTTCCTCTTATCGAAGAGGGTAAACGCTCCTTTTCGTGTCAAGAAGGAGTTTCACGTGAAAACATCCCCCTTGCCTACCCGCAGTCGCCCGTACCGAGCGCGGTGTCCCCGGAACAATGAGCCTGACAGCTCCGGCCGGCGCCGCCGGTGCCTCCTCCCCGGGAAGCCCCTTCCCCAGCCTCAAACCTGCCCTCGCACCCCCTGGGCGTGCTCGGTTGGATGGGTAGAAGTCACCGAAAGTAGATTCAGATGGGAAAGCTGTCAACGTTGTCGCCTTTCCAGGGGTTTTGCCCGAAATTACTTGAATTTGTATCCAAAGACAACGCTGTGTTTCAGGTTACCATAGTTCTGCTACCGGTTTTAATCAAGCGGCATAACGATCCCATGTTGAAATGGAAGTTTACCTTTCTTCCTGGAACAAAATATTCATTGTAAGACATCAGAGAAAAGCAGATCCACGTTAATATTACCTGCTAGTGTATTATAGCTACATCTTGCTCTGATCATCTACTCGGTTATGAAAGGCTGAAGTTAAATAGGCCTCATCTTAATTTTTATTTCATTCTAGTATTAAATCCTGTCAGTTTTAATCGGTAGAACTGGATTTGTGAAGCATTTCTATCAGAACTGGAATCTCACGTTAAGTGTGCCTGCCCAAGAACTGATTTGGATGCATCATGATTAGGAGCTAGTTGTCCTTAACATCTATAATAACCCTCTTCAAACAAATTCCAAAGCAATTCTCCATCTGTGAGGTGTACAGGAATTTTCTCTCAGTTACAAGTTGTAGGTAAACTTAAACAGTGCCATGACAGCATAGCTAGCAATATTAGAGGCTTGTAACATTTGGCATTATCTCTTAAGGTTTGTTTCACAATAGAGTGCCTGCCTCTCCCAAAATTCCAACCAAAGTATTCAAGTTTTACAACATAATTATCTATAATTATATAGAATGGGATGTTTTCCTGATTACTTGACCAAAAATGGCTTTAGTGGGGTTTTTTTGTTTGTTTTCTGGGGGGGGTTGTTATAATTTTATCTTTCTGTCTTCAGAAAGTTCTATCTAATACATAATGTATTGACATGCTTTAAATTTTTACGTTATTGGAATTACAAGCTGAGGGTTGCTTGCAGCTAAGCTTAGAGATAAAAGTAGTGCGTTTTGACTTCACAGAAGAACTGAATTTAGAATATCCCGCCCCACACACACCCCATTTCTATGTTTTGAGAAAAAGCCTTTCCAAGAAGTCAGATTTGAGAACACTAAAGATAAATACTGTTCTTCACTGTCAGTCAGGCTCAGTGGGTCCACCTCTTGGTAGAATGACAACCACTGTAGGTCACTTTTTAGCACAAGTTGTGGCTTAAGAATAAAAACTTACCATCCTGTAAAATCTTCCCTCTAAAGACTGCTTACATTTTCATATTGAGGAATATAGTGCACTTGTTAGATACAGAAATACTTCATACCGTGTCTAAATAGGAAAAAAAAAAAAATCCTCAACCCCCCCCCACCCCAGATTCCATCCTGCAGAATTCCACAGATAGTCCCGTTCATTACTCCAGAAATACTTGAGCAGTGGCTTCAGAATAATGCATTTTAATGTGGAAATGTTAAGATAGCTCCTTCAAACAGATTCTCTGTACAGTAATTGGTGCTCTTTTTGCTCTTATATGGTGAAATAATATTACTACTCACTGAGTAGAAATTATTATTAGTAGAATAATTATCTTAATTATTATTCTAATTATTATTTTGATAGTAATTTTAAAAATTGACCTCTTTGAAATTCTTGTGTTATTTTTGCAGAGATCTCACTATATAATACCAAGTAATGTGTGATAAGATGGTCTCAGGGTTTTTTGTAACATGGTTTTACACCCTGGAATTGTTCTACTGAATAGCTTTAAAGAATGCTAACAATTACTAAAATTATAATCTAAATTGCTTGCACAAGTACTGCAGGGTTTTTTGGGGGGTGTATGGGGGAGTGGGAATTACAATTTTTGTTACAATGCTGTGTTTTCTTCCTTGCTTCAGTAATTAATTTATATGTTATCAGGAAAGAGTGGTTTATAGAAATCTCTGCGCGTTGATTCCTTGGTGGTTGGTTGTTTTGGTTTTTTGGTGGTTTTGTGGTGGGTTTTTTTAAAAAGTAGAAAAACATTTCAAGTATTTTCAAAATAATAAAAATGAATCTTTCTTTTTAGCCTCTTCTGAAGCAGTCGCCCTGGAGCAATCAGAGTAGCGGCTGGAGCACAGGAAATATATCCTGGGGAGGAATGCATGGCAGAGACCATCGTAGAACTGGAAACATGGGAATTCCAGGAACTATGAACCAGATCTCTCCTTTGAAGAAGCCCTTTTCTGGTAATGTCATAGCTCCTCCTAAATTTACTCGCTCCACTCCATCACTGACACCAAAATCGTGGATTGAAGATAATGTTTTCCGAACTGACAACAACAGTAATACTCTCCTTCCTTTGCAGGTAAGGATGGTATGTAACTGGTGTGCTGATAGTCTTGCATAGCATTTTGGCTTCATTCATTTTAAAGGAGAATTAAACAGTGGTTACAGCCCTGATACTTGGTTTGAAAATTGTATATTTCTATATTATTTTTAGTCCTAAATCGCAACTAACCCCAGCGTTTTCAATGTATTCAGCAATATATGATTCTCACAGTTAATTAAGAATATTGATGGTCAAGAAAGATAGAAACTGTAGCCGCTGATGCAGCAATACAGCAAAATACATTTAATCCAGCAAGTATTTTCTGCCTATGGTAATGCTCATATTCTTATAAATCCCTTTAAAACTCAGGATTTTTTTGTTCGCTTGTCCTTGTACATACGTCTTCTTACTTTTGTAGATGGCTCTGAGTCTTTGTCATGTTCGTCTCTTACTAGTATTCTAGGCTGACATTTGCTGTTAGTGAGATTTTTTTCCTCCACGTTATAGCAACTTTTATGTTATGTTTTGGCTGGAAACCCTGTGACTTAGAAGTGTTAAACAGGAGGATGTGTCTTAGAACTAAAGATCTGGGTTCACCTCCTGAATTTTGCCAGTGGCATCTTATGTGACTTTAGGTAAGTCACTTAACTCCAGCCTCAGTTACCTGTTGGTAAAATTTTACTTTTCCCATTCCTGCCTATATTCATTTAGTCATAACATTTCTTGTTAGCAGAGACCTTTATTTGGATCCCAATCTCAGTTGCCATTCTAACAATTTACAGTTTTTGCATGGGTTTCTTGTTACAAGCTTTTTTGCTTGGGCAACTTACCTTAGAAACCATGCATTTTAAAATAGAAAGCAGATTACACCATTAATTCTGTACATTCTTTAATTTTCATTACACCTGTCAGCATTGTTTTTTGTCTCACACTGAGCTACTATATTCCAGCGACAGTAAAAAAATACAATATGCAGAGAAAATAATTAGAATGTTTCTTTATCTCCACATAAGGCTATTATAGTTGTTTTTTGTTAGGTTTCACACAGAGTAACCTAGAGTTTCATTTGTCGTAATTGTGATCATATTTGAGTTTGTACAGCTGTATTTGCATTAATTAGCAAGCTAATCCTTATGTAGCTGTAATAGTGGCAAAAGGGCGTTCCCTGGGACCAGATTTCCCACTAGAGTTCCTGTTTTTCTTACCATTTTGCTGGTGGAGTTCCATTTGGCACAAGAGGCCATGTCCTGACTCTATCCAGGTGAGCTCTGATACTTGAAGTATTCTTGAGGCTAGTGGTGACTTTTAGACATACCTAAATTCTGCTCCAAGTGTATGCATTGGACCTGAAAACTCAAGAGGATTTGCCTGTACTGTGAAGACCCGTTCCATTAAGTAGCCTTGCTAGCTGGAATATCACAGTTGAATAATTTTTGTGTGGGTGGAAATACAGGTAAAAAAGGTGCCATTCTTTATGTATTCAACCTGATCTGTTAAGGAAAACAGGTTACAGATGGGTAATGCTTTGCAGTGGAGGGCTCCAAAAATAGTTGAAAGTAAACACTGAAATGTCTCCCGAAGATGTTAGCCTAAGGAGTAGGGTTAAAAATATTAATGCCGTCATACATTGAAACTGCAGTGACGTATACGTTGGAATTCATATGCAGCTAAGCACAAGTTGTGAATATGTTTACTCATTCAGTATGCCTTACAAGTCAGTATGACTATTACTTTGAACTTTCAGAAGTTTCTACAGCAGTCACCTAATATAGGTGAACTCATTTTATGTCTAAACAAAAGTCTTGTGCATTCAAACTAGAATCTAAATAATTTCTATCTAGTAGGGTAGAAAAAAAAATCCTTGCAATTTAACTTTATAATAAATTACATTAACGTTTCCATTTGGGAGTTGGTTTTTGGTTCTTTTTGTGGTGGGTGTTTGTTTGGTTTTGTTTGGGGTTTTTTTTGAAGAGAATGTCAAAGTGAGAAGGTGGGCACACTTAATTGTTGTTGGTCTTATCTGTGAGCACCAGAGCCACCAATTAGATAGACCTGTTTGGCTATATTTATGCTGTAGATCTATCTATGCTTAAATCTCCCTTGCATGTATAAAGTCATAGTTCCAGAACACAGTAAAAATAATGCTCTTTGAAGGGTTGCAGTGTTATCTACTGCTATTGTGGAAACACTAGATGTTTCCATAAATTACTCTGCTACACTGAAATCACGTTCTTATTTTTCAGTTATTATACTATTATTATATGCTTAATTCCTTGTGATGACTGTTACGTTTTGCAAGTCATAATGAAAAAATTAAATAGAGCTTGGAGCTCGTGCTTCTTTTCATCAGGACTTGTGTTGGCAATTGCGATGCTGTCAAACACCCATCTTGCTAATTTGTACTGTGCTTGTCTCCTTCCATAAAAGGCTGAGGTATTTAGATTGAGGATTCTTAAAGATACAGTAGCAATTTCAGAAGATACTCAAAAATAGCAGTAATTAAATTTTGTGCCATTTGAAAAGTCTTACATGAAAGCATTTATGTGTACATAGAAGTTACCTATTTCTTCCAACCTTCCACAGAGCAGACACATCTTAGCATGCATGTTGAATACATACTGCATCATTCACGATTTTGCAGAATACTTTTCTGCATGATCATGCATCTTTGTTTTAACTGCAGTAATCATTTTGTATGACAGGGGACAAAGCACCTCTCCTCTGAACTTTAGCTAGCTCAAGCTTAGCAAATGAAAACAGGTTAGAAAAGCCAGTGTCCTCACTGACTAACTTTCTGTAGATCATTAATGTTCTGCTACCATTTTTAAAATGCTATATATTTTTTTGCTAAACCCAAATGGCATTCAGCAGTGTCAGCTGCTCATCCAGTTTCTGTAAAACATGTACCTAATGCAAACAAGATAAGCCCACAGAGGAATCATATACAAATTCAAAGCTTTTCCCTTCCGTGAAACTTATTTATTCTTTGGTGTTTGTATTGATGGATGGTCCCCAGTATAGAACTGACATCAATTCTGATGAAGATAATGTTTGTTGGCATTAAACTAATATAGCAGTGACAATGAATGTTATTACTGATAACTGAATAACTAATTATGTGTATTACTTAAAGGGATGAAAGCAGATTTTCTGTACTTCATAGTTAAAACTGAAACATACCCCTGTGAAGTTGAATTCACAGCGGCCACATCAGTTACAGCAAAGCTGCTTTGCTTACAGCAGTTATGAAGGACATGGCTCAGGGGAATTTTCCAAAGTTCAAGAGTTTTATTTTGTTTTTAAATAAAGGTAGTTAAACCTCATGGCAACACTGATTTAAACATGAGCAAATTAAGCCAATAGCCAAGTTTTTCTTATGTGACTCACTGTAAGAAGCTTTTTTTTCCTCCCTCAGATTTTTAAGATAACACAAACTACATCATCTAAAGTTCTTTCATAGACAAGATTATGTCTACAAGTTTAAGTTCTGCCACACTGCTTGAACCATTATAGGTACTTCATAGAGGGAAGGGATTGTTGCCTTGTACCGGAATCATTAAGGAACAATTAGAAATCTTGTCAGGTATTCACACCATCTAAATTAAGCATTTAATTGAGGAGCCTATTTCTCCTTAGAGAGAACCTAGGCTCCTTATTTAGATAATCTAATTCTCTAGAAGAACCTACCTGGCACCACTGACCATATGCAGCCCCTGGGATTCCAGTTCAGGCACTTACGTTGCATGTCAAGAAGTCAAACAATATGAATATTGTCTCTTATTCCCTGATCTAAAGTACAAAAAAAATGAATATAGGATGCAAACAAAAAATATATTTCTAACCCCAGATACTGTTTTTTCAAAAAAAAACATGCTTCAGGCATTTCTGTGGCCAAAACGCAAGCACAGAAATCAGTGTTTTGTATATTCATTTTTTTTCATTTATATTCCTTGGATGAGGAAAATAATTAACCATTTCCAATTTTATTTTTTTAAACTGCTGTGTCTGCTAACCCTATTTTGATTGCAAGCTTAATGTTTCTTAGTATCTTGCAAGTAGGCTTACTGAAGCCTGTTATAATAGTTTAATAATACACTTCAGTGTTTAACTTTTCATTCTAGTAAAAACACTGCATTCTATGAATGTGAATTTAGTTTCTGTCTCTTTTGAGTTAAGGAAATACACTGCATGTCTGTGTGTTTTTCACCGTGATTTGTCCTTCCTGTTTGTTCAAACAAACAGTACGTGCAATGTTTGTGGTCCTAAAAGCTGAGCTTTATTATTCTACGTTTGAATATAGCTCTCCAGCTGGGGATTTGTATGGTAAGGTACCATCTCTCACAAATGCAGATTTTTCTTTTTATTTTTGAAATGTGCTAAAGTTTTCAAAGAAAACAAAATGCTTGCAAAGCAAAATGAGTTTTAAGATTGTACTTCACGACAGGTGTTAGTTTTAGATATTTAATTTAAACTGCTGTCATGTTGCTTCCGTCTACAATGACTTCCATTCAGAGGATTTCAGATTCTCAATATTACAGTTTTAGTAGTTTAATAAATGTACCTTAACAGTTTAAATGACTAATCTAGATGATACACATACCAGTCAATACTAGATGAAGAACAAGTTGCTGAAGTTGGGTTCTTAGTGCCATGTTTAGAATCCTAAATAGGTGGCCTGTTTCTTCAGAAGTGCTGAGTGTGTTTGGCAGCTCATGTTAAACTTGAAGGCATTGGGAGTATCTAGCTGCTAAGTTCTTTTAGTCTTCAGACTAGTGTAATTGTCCAAACACTAATTTATAAGCCAGGCTTTACCATTTTATTTTTACTAAGGCAATACCTGCAACAGAACAGTGTCTTCAGGATTTTTAATGCAGTAGATTGATTACCTGGGGCTGATTAAATAACATACAAAAACAGATACTCGAGTCTGAGGACCATACAGGGGATATCTGTAACTGGACAAAATGGTCTACTGCCATACTTTTAACTTCAGGATCAAGACCTTTGAGTAAATAGTATTGGGAGCTGCACAAATG